CAGACTGTGTTTACAAACATTTGTGAAAGGATGGGTTGCTCTCAGGAGCTCAGTGAATTCCAGCATGGAACAGTGAGAGGATGCCACCTATGCAACAAATCCAATCGTGAAATTTGCTTGCTCCTAAATATTCCACAGTCAACTGTCAGATGTATTATAAGGACGTGGAAGTGTTTGGGAACGACAGCAACTGAGCCACGAAGTGGTGGGCCATGTAAACTCGTTCAACATCAGTACGTGATCTCACAAATGCGCTTCTGGAAGAATGGTCAAACACTCCCATAAACACATTCCTGAACCTTGTGGACAGCCTTCCCAGAAGAGTTGAAGCTGTTATAGCTGCAAAGGGCGGACTGACGTCATATTGAACCCTATGGATTAGGAATGGGATGTCACTTACAGTAAGTTCCTACGTGAGTAAAGGCAGGTGAACGAATACTTTTGCCAATATAGTGTAAGTCACTTTTTCCAGTGTCGTTGTACCTTCGAATGGTCACTAAATCGAGGATTACCTGTATTAGGGATGATTGTCACCATATGTTACTAATACAAATAATAAAGGCAGGATTAAATAAAACCTGTGCTCCGGAGTAGAATGGAGGAGCTGAAGTAAAATGGCTCTAAAGTGGAATGGAGGACCATGTGGTAATGTCTTATTCTTGCTGGTTTCCAGAGCAGCAGAAAAAATATGTCAGACGTGTATTTACCGAATTCTCTTTGCTGAATTTTACTATCTGAAATCTCAAGATTCCTGGTGCTTTCCCTATGAGTAATCAAAAGTTTTGAATCAGCCTGTGAACTTCCAGAAATAATAAAGACCCAGTGTTCCATTTTTAGTAGGCATAGATGGAAGACCTCAATTTGGTACGTGTTTAGATCAGAGGTGGGTTCGGACTGGTTCGGCCAAACCGGTAGTAACTTGGCAGTCTGGGTCCCTGGAACCGGCAGCGACCCATGCCTGCTACGCTCCCGAACCGGTTCTTCTACGGAGCTGCCATCTTGTTTTTCAGTTCTGCGCATCCACAGAACAAATTTTAGAGGAAACCCTCCCCCCCATTTTTTTTAAGGTTTTGCCTGTGCGCAGACCTTTTTATTTGCAAATGTGCTCGCACGTGTAGTGCACGTCTGGCGTGCGCAAACTTTTGGAGGCACCGAACCAGCAGCAATGCCGGCAGCAACCTACCCCTGGCTTGGACCATTCCAGATAAGAAACTTTATTCAACAGTGGATCGCCCAATGGATAACAAAAAGCTATTGGCAACCATTTAGTAGCTCCATCAGTTCCGTTAAGAAAACCTTTCATTGCAGGACTTTAAAAAAAAAGAGTCTTGAACATTCAGCAAACAAGGAGAATAAACCTCCTTGGTATTTCTAATGTCCCATTTGCACATGTCCCCCCAAAAAAACTCATTGAGTTCTTGATCTTAATCCTCTTATCATATTTCTCTCCCATGTGTTTCCTTTCAGATACAGCTAAGTCTAAATGTCTGTAACGCGATCATGTCCTCATTATAATTTTTTTTTTTTGCTACACAAACTGACCTGATGGATGATTTATGACTAATACGCTTTTTGCAACACATAATTCAAAGCTTCCCAAAAAATATTTGGCACAGTGTGAAGATTGAGTAATGTTGTTTTTGTGCTCCGAACGGCAAATATTTGAGCGCAAGAAAATTTAATTTCTAGAACCGGGATCAAATTGATTTCCTTGTAATTCCAGCTGATAATGTCTAACAACTGGACAGCCCTCCCTGAAGTATTTATCATTTTCAATTCCTCTGCCAGTTTTTTTTTCCCCCCTGCCATAAAACTGCTGGAATCCTACATTGACGGAATTTGTACTGTTCTAACGCTCATGGAAAGTGAAGTCCCACGAGCTTGGAAGAATATAAATTTGGCAGGCTTTACAGATTCTCTGCTGGATCTGGAAAGGCAATAAGATACAATCTCCCAACTAACTTTTGTGCCCTTTTTTCTGCAATATTTCTTCAGGGAGGTGTATATAACACTGCCAAACACATTCCTGGCTACCTGGAGATCACTCAGCTGATGGGGTCCTCCTCTCGATAAAATTAACCTAGAAATGAGACTTGGGGTTACCTGGTCTTTAAGGATCACTGAGATTGCCCCCCCCCCCCTTGTCCAGGATGATTTTGTTGTTTGCAACAAGGTTCTGAGGTCCATGTGAGAGCATGGGAGGAAGTCCGAGGCTATTTTTCTGGGGCAAAGTGAACACATACATATTCATGCATACTGCTATTTTTTTTAAAAAGATACAGATGGGATTGATGTTGGACTCTCTCTATATATAACAATGGCTGTGTGTGTTCCAGCATAACTCTGGAATGCGTCGAGCAATTTCAACCAAACTTGGTACACATATGACCTACTCTCTGGAAACAGTGGGGGTAAGACACCCCTAACACCTCTTGGGGTGTGTGTTTTGTTAAGATACAGCCTGTTGTTCCTTCAAATGGCTTCTACTGTACGGCCTTCAAATGGCTTCTACTGTACAGCGCTGTGGAGTTGCCATGTTAACAGTTTTACAGCACTCCACAAAGGAGCTCCCTCTGGTAAGGGGGAAAATCCAACATTAGATATTAAGGTGGTATCACTTTCCTTAATGGTTCTGGGGACATAGGGAAAACATTTGGAGCTAATTTAATTGTCACCGAAATCAGGGCTTTTCTGGTCTAATACAGGATTAGGATACATGAATATCGGAGCAACGCCGGGTTATCAACTAATATTGTATAAAATATGCCACGTTTTCAAAACTTACTGTTACAGGTATCCACATCTAGGCATCATAAATAAAAACTTGATAAGTACAAACAATGAAGTACTGATAGGAGAATACTTCATATACGTTGGAGAAAATAGAACATATAGCTGTGGAATGCAGAAGAAATCTAGAATCAACGTTGTTTTGTTTGCTTTTTCAGATGCAAAAATGGTCCCAGGCACAGATGCTGTAAGCACTACGAAGATAATTGCATCTCATATTGCATTAAAGTGAGTCAACACCAGCCCTTCCATTTGAAGATAGATACCTAAAAATTAACAGGAAAATAAAAGAAACAGATGAATGTTGCAATGGGTTTGTTCCTGCTCTAATCCGTGGTCTAGAAATAGATGTGATGACTTAGAAAGGAATGTTACTTTTATATGATTCTTGTCAGATAGTCTCTCAAGCCATGCTCTTTTCACTTAATATTATGTCGAACAGTGGTGGGACTCAAATTTTTTTACTACTGGTTGTGTGGGCGTGGCTTGGTGGGCGTGGCGTGACTTGGTGGATATGGCTTGGCAAGCGTGGCAGGGGAAGGATACTGTAAAATCTCAATTTCCTCCCCACTCCAGGGGAAGGATACTGCAAAATCTCCATTCCCTTTCCACCATTCCAGGGGAAGGATACTGCAAAATCCCCATTTCTTCCCGATCAGCTGGGACTCGGGAGGGAAAGAATAGATGGGGCGGGGCAAGTCAGAGGTGGTATTTACCAGTTCTCCGAACTACCCAAAATTTCCGCTACCGGTTCTCCAGAACTGGTCAGAGCCTGCTGAATACTACCTTTGATGTGGATATCGCAGTTGTAATTAGTAAACCATAGTTTGTGGCAGAGTTAGGTAATAGACCAGGGGTGTCAAACTCAATTTCATTGAGGGGTGCATCAGGTTTGTGTTTTATCTCAGGGGGGCGGGGTAGGTGTAGTCAGCTCAGTGTCACTCATGTTAGGGGCACCTGTGGTGGCCCGAGTGCTCTTCCAGCAAAAATGGAGCTTGTGAGGGCCATGCATGGCCCTCACGAGCCATACACGGCCCTCACAAGCTCCGTTTTCTGCTACAACAGCTTCCTGCTACCCTCTGCCTGGCTGGCTGGGGAATTCTGGGAGTTGAAGTCCACTGGTCTAAAAGTTGCCAAGATTGGACAATCTTGTCCAATAAAGTACTTTAGAGGTATATATTGAATAGAGATTTTATCCCTCATAATACTATAGCCACCGGACAAACAAAATGGTTTCCCTGCCTTTATTAATTTTGGGGCATTTGCTTGGTTGTTGTGGAGAAAATACTGGATTGTTAGCAATTATAGTAATAGTAATTTTTTTTTTGAAGTAAAACATCAGGAGGTATACACCAGGGGTGTCAAACCTGCGGCCCACGGGCCGGATGCATCACATGCTGGCCACACCCACCTCCGGTTTAGCAAAGGGGGGGAAAGTCACAGTACGTCACATGACGACAACGTGACACCGCAAGTTTGACACCCTTGGTATCAGGTGGGTTGCTGCCAGTGTTGCTGCTGGTTCTCTTTGTGCGTGCTTTGTTGTGCGTGCGTGCGCGCGCGCGAAGTTGACAGCAAATTGTTCTGCGCATGCGCAGAAC